CACCCCAGTAACTGTGGAAACTTGACACTGGACCTCAAACAAAGTGAATTATGTGTCTCCTCTCTTCCTCCAGACTCTGGGACCTTGATTTCCAAAGCAAATGCAAAATTTACTGTAATCAGAGAACATAACTTTGGACCACTCAGCAGCAGTCCCAGGCGAGATGCTTCTGCCGCTGTTTCTGGTTCAAAAGTGGCTTGACCTGGGGAATGCGGCACCTGTAGCCCATTTCCTGCACACGCCTGTGCACTGTGGCTCTGGATGTTTCTACTCCAGACTCAGTCCACTGCTTCCGCAGGTCCCCAAAGGTCTGGAATCGGCCCTTCTCCACAATCCTCCTCAGGGTCCGGTCACCTCTTCTCGTTGTGCAGCGTTTTCTGCCACACTTTTCCCTTCCCACAGACTTCCCACTGAGGTGCCTTGATACAGCACTCTGGGAACAGCCTATTCGTTCAGCAATTTCTTTCTGTGTCTTACCCTCTTGCTTGAGGGTGTCAGTGATGGCCTTCTGGACAGCAGTCAAGTCGGCAGTCTTACCCATGATTGTGGTTTTGAGTAATGAACAAGGCTGGGAGTTTTTAAAAGCCTCAGGAATCTTTTGCAGGTGTTTAGAGTTACGTCGTTGATTCAGATGGTTAGGTTAATAGCTTGTTTAGAGAACCTTTTCATGATATGCTAATTTTTTGGGACAGGCATTTTGGGTTTTCATGAGCTGTATGCCATAATCATCAGTATTAAAACAATTAAAGACCTGAAATATTTCAGTTGGTGTACAATGAATCTGAAATATATGAAAGTTTCATTTTTATCATTACATTATGGAAAATAATGACCTTTATCACAATATGCTAATTTTTTGAGAAGGACCTGTAGATGATCTAAGTCACTGTTCTCTGATGCATTACTCTGCAAGACAGAGGAAACATTGATGGAAGAGATTGTTTAAATTTGGTTACAGCATTTTCTGATAAGCACCTGCTGAGATGAAATTTACTCTCAGTGACTGTGTAGTCATTTAATGTAAACTCAAAGGTTATTAATAAATGGTCGGACAGAATAGGATTTTGAGGAACTATTACCAAGTCCTTAATCTCTACACCATAGGTCAGAACTAAATCAAGAGTGTGATGATAAGAATGAGTAGATGTGCGAACGTTTTGGGTAAAACCAAATGAATCTATTAAATTATTAAAGGCTGATAGATCTGATATGCTTAAGCTATCACTTTCAACATACACACGAATATTAAAATCACCCATTATGATAATTTTATCAATATTTAATAGTAAGTCAGTTAATAATTCTGAGAATTCAGACAAAAACTGAGAGTAAGCGCCTGGTGGACGATATATAACAACTAGTAAAAGTGGCTTTTCTGATTTCCATTTTGGATGAGAAAGACTGAGGGACAGCGATTCAAAAGAATCATAACTAATAACTGGTTTGGCTTTAATCAATAATCCTGACTGAAAAATAGAAGCTACTCCTCCACCTCGGCCAAGCCTCGGCCAATTAGTGTATAACCATGTTATTACTTGGGATCGGATGTTGGATGGTACAAAATGGGTTCCCACAGGGCCTGTGCCGGGATCGGGTTCCGATCTTTGTGCCTCACCGATCTCTCTCTCTCAATAGTCCAAGTGAGAGCACCCACCACACAAGAGGGAGGAATGATGCTTTCTGCATCATCAGTTGCACCAGAGGGAGAGAACTGGCGGGACAGGGCCTCTGATTTAGCATTCTTGGAACCTGGGCGAAAGGTCAGAACATAATTAAACTGGGTGAAGAACAAGGACCATAGTACTTGCCTGTGGTTTAAGCGTTTGGCATCTGAGATAAGTTAAATTCTTTTGGTCTGTCCATATGAGAAAAGGTGTGTCAGTGTCCTCTAACCAGTGTCTCCATTCTTCCAAAGCTAGTTTGACTGCAAGTAATTCTCTGTTACCCACATCCTATTTCTTCTTTGCAGGAGAAAGTCATTTTGAAAAGAAACCACAAGGGTGAATCTTGTTGTCAGAGGGGGCTCTCTGAGACAGTACTGCCCCTACCCCTGTGTCTGATGCATCGACTTCGAGGATGAATTGTCTCTTGGGATCGGGGTGACAAAGGATAAGCGTAGAGGAAAATAAAGCCTTTAGCTTACCAAACGCCGTGTCCGGGGTCCATTTAAATGTCCGCAGGGTGGAAATCAGCTGTGTGAGAGGGGCAGCGATCCTACTGTAGTCCTTGATGAATCGCCTGTAAAAATGAGCAAATTCCAAAAATTGCTGCAACTGTTTTCTAGTCTCCGGGATGGGCCACTCCACCACTGCCTTGGTTTTTTCCGGCTCGGTCCTATATTGACCCTCTTCAAATATAAATCCCAAAAATGAAATGGTGGTGACATGAAACTCATATTTTTTCTGTTTTACAAAGAGCTAGTTCTCGTAGAGTCTCTGGAGGATGAGTCTGACCTAATGAATATGTTGTTCCATATTCTGGGAGAGAATCAGTATATCATCAAGGTAAACAAAAACAAAATAATTTATGAACACGTTGTTCACCAGGGCTTGAAAAACTGCGGTGGCATTAGTTAAACCAAATGGCAAAGGTATTCAAAGTGACCCTGGGGTGTTCGAAAAGCAGTCTTCCATTTGTTGCCGTCCTTAATTCTCACCAAATGATATGCATTACGCAAATCTAGTTTAGTAAAAATGGAGGCTGAGCGAAGCTGTTCGTGAATGGAGACAATAAGGGGTAGTGGGTACTTATTTTTCATGGTAATGGCATTAAGTCCTCTATAATCGAAACAAGGCTGTAAGGTTTTAGCCTTTTTAGAAACAAAGAAGAATCCTGCCCCTACAGGCGATGTGGAGGGGTGGATTATACCAGAATCTAAGGAATCATCATTGTATTTCTTCATGGCCTCTCTGGCCCAGAAAGATTGTACAATTGACTAGATGGTAAAGCTGAGCCTGGGAAGAGGTCAATGACACAATCGTATGGGCGGTGAGGAGGTAAGGACAAGGCTCTTTGTTTACTAAACACTGTGGCCAGGTCACGATACTCGTGGGGAATGTCAGCAATTTTCACTTCGTCAAGAGGTGCACAGGTTTTTACCTGACTAGATACAGCTGTCCAGAGACAGTTCTGAAGGCAGGTGTTGCTCCATCCCTCAATTTTTTTGAGTCCATTTTATCCTTGGGTTATGTTTCTGGAGCCAGGGAAACTCGAGAATTAATTGGGTTTCAGGGGAGTCGAATATAAAAAATTCACTGACCTTTTGGTGATTTCCAGAAGAGATCAGGTGTACACCCATCGTCTTGTGTTGAATCTGTGTGAGCAACAAAGTTCATACTCAGTCATCCAGGTACCAAATCCAATAATTCTCAGTTGGGTCATCTGGACAGTTTCTTTTTTTATATAAACGTTTCGCCCTCTATCCGGAGTGATTCATCAGTCAGAGGAGTTCCAATAAACTGTTTCCCCACCAAGCAGTAAACTCCTTAAGTGGACCAACCAGTTTACTGGAGCTAAGATGGTTTCTGGTGGCCGTCCTGTCCCTCGTCGACTCCTCCACACCACAGCCAAAGTGGTTCAGCAGCCTTGAAATTGATAATATTAATAATCTGTATTCTTTTTAATTTACTAGAAACTTCTAAATAAATCCTGACCCTGTACTGAAAACAGTTTCAGCGTCTCACCGCCACCAGCTGGTGAGAGGCGTGTGACGCAATTTGAACCCGCCCACTGGAACTGGTACTGAAAGCATAATGGAAACACAACATGTACTGTACCAAGTAGAGTAGAGTCATGCTGTACCGGTACTGCAGGTACTAATGGAAACGAGGCATAAGTTCCTGGCAAAAACCAATGCAGACATGTTCCTGTTTTTAGTTTTCTACATCACTTTAAAATCTAGCTGTTTTTGTTGTTTTTTAATAACATTTTCTTTTATTTGTTCTTTCCAATTTGTATGCTTTTTATGATTGTTTACTGTTGTCATCATGCTTTGTTAAAATCAGGTCTCTCTTGTAAATGAGTCCCAGATGCTCATTGGGATTAACCTATATAAATAAAGGGTGAATGAATGAAAAACAATGTACTTTCTAAATAAATTTGACGTGATTTCTGCTCAGTGGAGTCCACATGAGGAGGAGGAGGAGGGGGAAGAGCACCTCCCGTTCATTGTCTCTGCTCCATATTCGGATGTGAGCTCAAATGAGATACCAGTATTTAAAAACATATTTACTGTACACATAAAGATGTCAAACAGAAATAATTTTAAAACATTTTTTGAAATATGTACCAGACTTGACTGCTTTGAAAATAAATTTTGACGACTTCTGCTCAGCGGAGCCAACGTGGCCCAGAAGGAGGAGAGGGAACTGCTGTTTTTTTTTTTTTATGACTTTAACACAGCAAAAAAAAAAAAAAGTTCCAGTAGTCGACCAAAAGTCACTCATTGCTATGTTGTTCCTCCTGTGAACTAAAGGCCTCTTTGAGGCTCATATAAACGTCATCACACACCACCTCCGTCTCGCTCTCGGCAGCTGTTTCCTTCTTCGACAGCCACATCGATAGCTTTTAACTTGAAAACTGCATCATAAGAAATTCTCCATGCATTTTCAATTATTGCTGAACAAATGAACAGATCAGTGCATGAGGCACAAAATACGGTAACTGATCTGAAGAACCAACAATTTTAAGTCAGGTCATCTGGGCGTTTTTTTGTTGTTGTTTTTTTTGTGCTGAGACGTTTCGCCTTTTATCCAGAAGGCTTCATCAGTTTGCACAAACACCAAACAAAACTGCTTCTCTCCCAACAGCTTACTCCAAAGTGTCTGGCTCAAAGTAACCACTGGATCTAGAGGACAATCAGACCTACAGGACAGCCATCTAGAGCCAACTAAAACACTTTAAAATCAATTCTAAATGGAACAGTGAAGAGAGATATGCTCGTTCTTAGACCTGAGCTGTCAACATTGATCTATGCTGTTTATTGTCTTGTTTGATTTTAGAGCTACAAGCTGGCTGTTAAACTTAAACCAGACCAGTCCCAGACCTGGATGAATATGGGAGGAATTCAACACATCAAGGTAGGCCCCATTCACCTAAATCAGTAATACTTCATACTAAGGATGGCTGCATTTACATGCACTGATATACTGTTTATATTTTAAAGAAACAGTACAGTACTAATGACATGAACATCCACCCATTATCTTTACCCGCTTCTTCCTTTTTGGGTCACGGGGTTCACTGGTGTTCATGTCCAGCCATCACTGTGTGAGAGGCGGCGTACACCCTGGACAGGTCTCCAGTCCATCAAAGAGACACATGGAGACAAACGAGACAAACAACCATTCACTCTCTCTCTCTCTCTCACCTAGGGACAATTTAGAGTTACCAATCAGCCTAACATGCACGTTTTTGGTCTGTGGGAGGAATCTGGAGTACCTGGAGAAAACCCACGCAGCACAGAGAGAACATGTAAACTCCACCCAGAAAGGCCCCCGGACCAGGATTTGAACCAGGGTAACCTGCTCGCTGAGAGGCAGCAGCTCTACCAGTTGCACCACCGTGCTGCCTGTTACCAGAACTCACCCTGTCAAAATAAGATTTCCCAGATAAGATAAATGGTAAATGGACTGTACTTACATAGCGCCTTTCTATTTTATCGAGATACTTACTTTAAATCACTTCTTGGTCTGCTGCCTTCATACATCTCCTCCTACATGTCTCTGCGTGAGTGCAGCTACAGCGTGCGCTCTCAGGACATCATTACCTGCAGTGTTCCCTCAGTGAGGACTGAACTAGACAAAAGGACCTTCTCCTACTCCTCTCCTGTTTCCTGGAATATCTTGTAAAAAGATCTGAAGCTCTCGACCTTTGACCTCTCTAAGTGGCTTTAAGAATCTGTTGGACTCCTGGCAGGGACCGATGCAGACATGTTCCTGTTTTTAGTTTTCTACATTCGCCTTAGAATCTAGATGTTGGTTTTTTTTGTTACATTTTTCTTTTAGCCATCCTATTTGTAAAAAAAAAAAAAAAAAACCCTGCAGTATGACTTTTTATAATTGTCCATTGTTGTCATCTTTCTTTGTTGAATGAGTCCTCGAGGCTCAATGGGATTTACCTGTCTAAATAAAGGTTGAAAAATACTCAAAGCTCTTTACAACAATCTGTGCCTCATTTACCCATTCATACAGCTCTATACTAGATCTCTACAAAGCTAATTGAACAAATCATTCTAAAGAGACTAATCAGAGCTTTAGATCACATTCATACACTGATGGGACACACATCAGAGGCTATGAAGGGTTCAGTGTCTTGCCCAGGGACACTTCGACATGTGACTGCTGGTGGATTAGAACCCCCAACTCTTGCATTGGAGGACGACTGCTCTAACCACTCAGCCACAGCCGCTCTAGATAAGATAAGATAAGGGCAGCACGGTGGCACAGTTGGTAGAGCTGCTGCCTCTCAGCGAGCAGGTTACCCTGGTTCAAATCCCCGTCCGGGGGCCTTTCTGGGTGGAGTTTACATGTTCTGTCTGTGCTGTGTGGGTTTTCTCCAGGTACTCCAGTTTCCTCCCACAGACCAAAAACATGCATGTTTAATGCATGCATAAACAATCACTTAAATTAATCACTTTAATATCAACTTTAAAGCTAGGAATAAAAATGAACATGTTTTGTGTTAGCATTTAATTCTAACTTTATCCAACATTAATAAAACGTACCTCAAGTTGCCTTTTTGGACAAGCATGCATATATTTGTACAAATTGTACTTGAGAGGAGATTATTACAGCCTCATATAAAATCAATGATGATGATATTGGGATGGTATTGGACGATATCAAGATTTAGGTATCGGGATCGGATCGGAAGTAAAGAAAAAGTGGATCGGTGCATCTAGTCAGAGGGTGAAATGTTTAAAGTTTTACACTTGTATAATGTCCACAGTTTGTTTGTAATACCTGTGTGTGTCTTCAAAGGGAGACTACGCAGCTGCCAGGATGTACTACCAGCAGGCCCTGCTTCTAAGTCCTGGTTCCAAACTTTTGAAGGAAAATTTAGCCAAGCTGCAACGTCTGGAGAAAAGACTGGCAGGAGGAACATAACAACATTTACTGATCCTGACACATTCTGCACGTGTTGACGTCTGTCTCATGGAAGCCCAAACACCAGCGGCCAGGCTTTAGGACCAAACAAACCTTTGTCCAAATACAACTTTCTTTTGACTGTGGGGAGTCAAAGAGACTACAGTCCAGAATACTACCACTAATTAGGCAGCAGTCCAAGGTCTGATATGCTCAACAAAAAGACAGGAATCTTCCTATGGGATCAATAAAGTTGTGTCTAATCGAATCTAAAGATGACTAAAACTCTGTCTGCATCATCTTTACTTCACTGTCCACGTCTGTTTTGCAGTTTATTTCATGTTATTTCTGACTTTTATCAAAAGCCTTTTCTCTACTTGTATTTAATTACAGATTCTTACAGTCTTCTGCTTTACCTTCCTTTTTTAATGCACTTACAACCCCTGGTTCTTTGAGTCCTGTGGCAGGATTCTCCAAATGAGCCGGCCTGTGAAACCTTGTCTAGACAACAAAAACCTGCTGCTCTGAACCTCCTGAGTCCGTGCACGCTGTTGTACAGCAAATTAAATGTAGATCAGTGGATTGTGAAACTAAATCTGATCCTAGCTTGCTAAACAATATTTAATTTGGCTTCTTGTCAACCAAATTATATTATAAATTCTTATTTATTTAAATTAAGCAATCTAATTTCATCTGCACCATTTATTTGTTCAGTAACCTCCAAAGATTTACTTTGACTGTGTCAATAAAATAACTCTTTACCTGAAATTAATTTTTTCATTGTTCTTTACTCTTCAGGGGTTGCCACAACAAGCAAACTTGACTGACAAGTTGGCAGTTGCTTTATGTCCTTCCTGATGTTACCACAGCCCATATGTGTGGAGCAGAGAGCTGCCATCTAGGGCACCGGGAGGGGGGGTTAATGTTAATGTTCCAGAGTGGGGCAATTTAGGGTGAAGGCAGATGTGGATGCTTCACTTTTCCCACCAAATTGTTTTGATGTAACAGCCCACCTGTTGTTAATTTAGAGACAACTCTATTGATAGTCATAAGATCCATCCATCCATTATCGGGGGTAACTGGTGCCCATATCCAGCAGTAACTGTGCGAGAGGTGGGGGGCACCCTGGGGACACGGGTTGCAAATCCAGAACTGGCCATAACATCCCAAAATATTTTGATTTGTTATGACATTGTCCTTTTTTAAATAGAACCTTCAAACTTATTAAAAGTCTGATCAAACACCATTAAAAGTTGTAACAAATGCATCATGTGGTTTAGATTTGTCTTGTTGAAATATGGTGGGTCTGCTCTGAAAAATATATCTGAATGTGTGATGTTCTAAAGTTTGTAAATGATTGAATAGAAGGCACTTTGACAGGTTTGTTTGATTTTTAAAGATCTTTTAACTTGTCTAATCGGCTTCTTCAGCTCTGATTGTGGATTGAGCGTTCCAGCCTTGTACACAATAATAAGACTGTTAGGTCACCTGAGTTCCTCACACATCCCTCTGTCCTGTGAGGTGGCTAAAGGCTCCCACAGACTCAGGCGGTCCTCAGTCCACGTGAACTGTGCGCTCTGTCCGCAGAGAATTGAGACTTCATACTCAAGCATTCACCCTGACCGGCTGCAGACCAGCTACGCAGGCAAGGGTTGTTTACCTTCAGGACAAATTGAGGTCGCAGATTGGTCATTTGCTGACACGACTACTGGATTGATTGACAGGTTGCAAAAACAAAACAAAAAAAAAACGAGAGCTGGCAGCCTCAGCTGCAGCAGTGTTCTGTGTTTATATGTTGTTACTAAAAAGTTCTAATAAATTAAAAAAACAGGGAGTGCTGGCCCTGCAGCCACACATCAGACCCTCCCGCAGCCACACTGGAACTGATTTTAATTCTCTCTTGACAAATTCCTTGATTTCTCACCATTTCAGTCATGGTGTCAACGGAGGAGGAAGAGATCACTTGCCTCTTGGAAAAAAACAAAGAAAAAGACATTAAACCAGATCAGGGATGAAGAAGGGGAATTTAACACTTTGGTGTTGCATACAAAACAGTCCGTCACCGGGTAGTTTATTGTGCGACACCGAGTACGCGTACGTGGTCGTAAAAATTGATCTTTGCGCAGACATGGGCGGCTGTGGCTGAGTAGTTAGAGCAGTTGTCCTTCAATACAAGAGTTGGGGGTTCTAATCCACCAGCAGGCACATGCCGAAGTGTCCCTGGGCAACACACTGAACCCCTCATAGCCTCTGATGTGTGTCCCATCAGTGTTTGAATGTGATAAAGCTCTGATTAGTCTCATTAGAATGATTTGTTCAATTAGCTTTGTAGAGATCTAGTAAAGAGTTGTATGAATGGGTCAATGAGGCACAGATTGCAGTGTAAAGCGCTTTGAGTGGATAAGATAGAAAGGCACTATATATAAATGCAGTCCATTTTACCATTTACATGCCCTAGAGGCATCTGTTTTGACTCTAATTCGATATGCAGACCTCCGCGAACTGAGATTTGCGCAAGTCTGTGCGAGCCTTAAGATGTGAGCTGTTTTGGTCACATTTCAAGGTGTGAATGATTGTGAAACTGCCTGGAGGGATGAATCAAGGCTGCATTTATAGGCTTTAGTTTAGAAAGACAACCTGAGGCCTTCTTCTCAGGTTAATATTGATGACGTTTCTTGTTTCCACGTTGACTCGTTTTTCAAACCACATAGCTTCTCCGGCTAAAATGTGCACATTGCTGTCCTCAAAAAAGTTGTCCCTTGTTAAGATGTAGATGAGCTGAATCTTGACCTAATGAGATAGTTCCTCTGTATAGTTGCTGTCTAATGACACTATCACAGCCTAAACACTCATTGGTTCCACACCAGTTAAGGGCCTGCCCACTGCCGGTACCAGTTACTCCTTTCTTTTGCTTAGATTATAGGACAGGGTCTATGAAGCGTACTCCGATTTTGACCGGATCATAAAAGAAGTGAGCATGTCAATGGCAGACTGTATTATTGATTTCGAGCAGCGTTACTCACGCATGAAAAAATACAACATGGAGCTACCCGACACTGTTTTGGCTTTTAAGATTTTGGACACTGCGTGTTTGGATATGACGGACAGACAGTTGGCTCTAACGGCATGCTCAGATGTAACATTTGCTTCAATAAAGTCTGCTTTGAAGAGAATGGTGGGGAAAAAAAAGAGTGCTGCAGCAGAAAATATTAACCAGGAGTCCGTGTTTGTAACAGAGCAATGGTGGCAAAAAGGCAAGTCCTGGTGGCAAAGTACTCGTCAGAAAACTCCACAGCCCAGTACAAACCCGTTGGATAAGTACGGACTGTGATCAAAATGTGCAGTGTGCCAAAGTACTTTTCACTGGGTTAAAGACTGTCCGCACAAAACTGAGAGTGTTAAAGTAACTGATGATACAACAGACGTGGAAGAGTGCAATATAACTCTATACACCAAAAAATCACCAACAGACGCAGAAATATTCATGACAGAATGTTTTGGCTCAGCATTAATAGACACTGCTTGTACTAGGACAGTTTGTGGACGAGTGGCTGGACAACTACAGTACTGTGTTACGAAAGAAAAGTGTGAAAACGATGAAAGAGACAGAAACACAAAGTCACAGGCCCTTTAAGTTTGGAGATGGAAGAGTCGTCCACTCCATCAAAAAGGTAAGGATACCTGCTAAGATCGGCAACAAAAAGTGTAATATAGAAACTGAAGTGGTACCTGCTAACATTCCACTGCTTCTGAGTAAAACATCATTAAAAAGGGTTGGGACAGTTTTGGACATGGAAAAGGACACTGCAGTGATGTTCAACCAGCAGTTGGTGCCAAAAACCTGGTCTCCCATTTTTAGGAGTGGTAGCTGACTTTTTATTGCTTAATAGTGGTGCAGCGGCAGTTGACGGAGTCAGAGCAGACTGAACAAGCTGGCTATTTATCATCTCATAAGGTAAGCAGAAAACCTGTTAGATCGAATTTCTGCATGTCCCATAAGGACTGTCAGGCTGCTCTGTTTTTGGTTTTTGTGCACGCAGTTTTGTGGACTAAAAGGCAGTAGAACATTACAGTGTAATACGGGATTATTTTATTTATCGAATGTAAAAGTTTATATACGGGACGTTTTTTCTCGCTGGGACGCGCGTGGGAGCGGACCGGAAACGTTAGCAACTTGCTAACTGGAAATGGTCCGGGAGCGTTAAAACACGTGAAACGCTAATTTTTCCCTTAAAACAAGAATTGTCTGGCTGGCTTAAGAGCCTGTACATTAACTTTCATTTGATTTTAGTTGAAAACAAACAAACGGCGTGACTGGAGGTTTAAAGCCCCGCGTGAAAATTATAACGTCATTTATGCTGACAGTATAATCTTTACGGGAAGCGTGTGCAGTCCGAAAATGTTCCAGGTGTAATTGCCCATCGCGGTTTACTAGAAACGCGTTAGTACGTGAATGTTGGGAAAACGTTAAGAGGTGTGGGTCGTTCTGACAGTTCGAAGAAACTTTACTAAGTTTTGGGTGCCTGTGGGGAGCCTTGCTAACTCTCTGAAAGAGGTTGTCGGCCCAGGGATCCTGTTTAGTGATAGTCCCCTTGAGGTCTGCGACTGGATGCAGACTGGTCAAAGAGCACAGCAATAATCGACATGTTGGCTATAGCAGTGCTTATTGGTACGGGAGGATCTTTAAAATATACACCTAGGTTAAATGATAAAAAGTCCAGGAGAGACCAGCAGAGGTCCGGGAGAGACCAGCAGAGGCCCAGGAGAGGCCTGAACGCATGAGGTTCTAGAGTACAAATAGGGACAGATCTTAGTTTTAGGATAGGCAGTTAGGGAGAAAGAATGTAGGTAAATAGACAGCTGTGCAGAAACATATTTTTAATGTAGGCTTTTTGATGTGGATTTGATATATATGTGGTGTGTGTGTGTGCACGTGTTTTGTGCTTAAGCTGAGTTTCTGTAGTCATAACAAGAGAGGCGAGACCTTGATTGTTATTTCGACTTCACCAAGGTTACAGAAATGAGTGATCAGCCACCCAATGGCTCTGTAGGAGCCTGTTTCAAGGCTGGAAAAAATAAACTTCGTAACACTCTTCCCATTAAGGACACGAAAAAACAAATTAGAGCGCTTGAGGAATGGTAGACAAACTTATTGAGGATGGTGTGTTTGTTAGCATGAAAAGCCCC